ACCCCCTCACCTCCAAGCAGAAGGCAGCTGAGATCGGGGCCACGCGCTGCAGCGAGGAAGGCGGTGTGGGGCCGCCTTCCACCTGCCACCTTCGGTGGCTTACTTGGAGGTTCATGGTGTTAGGGTTTAGGGTTTAGGGTTTCCGGTTAATAGTAATTGCACTTATAACCTTGGCTGACTTCTGAACCCCTCCTAAAAGTTCAGCTTGTAGGCTTCTTATTGTAGTTTCTTCAAGAACCCAAAAGGTTCAAGTCCTAAGAGTCAGCCAGAGGAAAGCCAAGTAACCCAATTATAAGCACATTGGGGGAATTAAGGGACTTTTAAGTGGGCTGCAAACACAGGAATCATTGGTTACTAAGTACCACGAACCTCCAAGTAGGGCCTTTAGGGCTTGGCACCCGCATAGCTTGACGTAGGGTTTAGGGTCTAGGGTCTAGGGTCTAGGGTTTAGGGTTTAGGGTTTAGGGGTTAGTAAAAAGGGATTGAGACCACAATGGCTTTGAGGCCACTGGGCTCCACCTACCCCGAAGTGTTTTACATAGCCTTTGGACCCCAATGCAAGTCTAGCTTGCATGCCCCATAATAAGGCCCTTTGTCGGGCTCCTTTTGGGGTACAGTTGGGGTGGAGAAACCCTAAACCCTAAACCCTAAACCCTAAACCCTAAACCCTAAACCCTAAACCCTAAACCCTAAACCCTAAACCCTAAGCCCGTCCTGCTCATTGCCGAAGAAAGGCCCAGTTCCTCCGCCATCTCTAAGGCTGGCTGATCCAGTCCTACTCGGGGCTCAAAGAGGGTTTAGGCTTTAGGGTTTAAATTAGGCTTTCGAGCTTAGGGTTTAGGGCTTAGGTTTTGGGATCTAAGTGGGCTTCAAGGTGCACAGGGTTTTGAGGGTTTGAGGGCTTTTTCTAAGCTTCAGGGGTTTATAAACTAGCTCCAGGGAGTTATACGCTTGATTGAGAAGGTCTTCAACTTGACAGGACATGGGATTAGGGTAAACCCTAAACCCTAAACCCCAAACCCCAAACCCCAAACCCTAAACCCTAAACCAGAGAAAAAAGTGTATCCCCATATGCAGCTTTAAGGCACCCAGCAGGAAGTCGGCCCATGATGCCGGAAGCCAGGGCGGCGGGTGCGGGAGGTAGCCGCTGACGGGTAGCCTCTTGCAGATCATTGCAGGGTAAATAGGGTTAGGGTTTAGGGTTTAGGGCTTAGGGTTTATAACGTTTGGGGGTACAGGGCATCAGGGTGTGCGCGATTTGACATGGAGAAGATGATCCAGGTTGGGGAGGGGCAAGCTTGGTTTAGGATTGAGGCTGAGGCTGACTGAGGCTCAGGCTGAAACTGCGGCCCTCATCCTACAGGAACCACCTTGCCGTACATACAGCTCCGAAAACCCTAAACCCTAAACCCTGAACATCAGCTCCTGGGTAACCCAGGGTCGTGTTACTAAGTTTGTAAGCCAAGGGGTTTAGAGCTTAGGGAACCACAAGAACCCTCCACTCCAGTTAACAAACCCTTAGCCCAAATATTAACCTAGGTCCTATAAGGACAGGTAGCAGGAATGAGGGTTTAGGGTACCCCTGAGCCCTATGTCCGATGGTCGGATTCTGAGGATGCATTCACAGGGGCCGCTGCGCTTCAGCGGGCAGGGCCGTGAGAATTGCGTGCGCCTGCAACGGGCGCCAGGTCATCCCGTCGCCAAAACCTTTAAAGTAGGCATTGTTGCCCGACGTTTAGGCCACAAACTCTCCTAGGCCCTAAACGCTTTAGTGGCTTAGGGGCTTAGGCAACGAAGTAGGCTTCCGCATCTGAGGCGTCCCAAACTACCCTGCTATGGAGCCAGAAAATGAGTACCTTTGCTTTGATATCCATGGCTTGTGCTGGGAAAACAAGAAATGAAGTTCCGACAAAGCCCGAATTGCCACATTAAGGGGACTACACTACCTGGAGCTTCAAGGGCACTTATAACCCTAACTAGAAGTCTACGTGTAACCCACTTGGGGGGACTTCGGAGACCTGTAAATGCAGTTACAATTGGGGATATGAGCACCCTTGTGAACCTCCAAGTACTGTGCAAGGAATCGACCCTGCAGACCTTGTTTAGGGTTTAGGGTTTAGGGCACATCGAAGCTATGGATTGAAGGTTTGAGATCGCCGGAAAGCAAGGAAACAAAACAATGCCCTGCCAAAGAGGATGTTAATTAAATGAGAATTGTTAACGTTCGTTTTTTTCTGCGATTTATAATAGGGCTTCGTGCGCTGCAGTTGGTAGCAGCAGCCGCAAGCAGCCCCATCAAAAGAAATCACCGTGCCCAAAGCGCCGTGAACGGGACTGCATTTAGGATTGAGAGACCTATGAAAAACCACCCGAATCCCTTGCCTAGACCCAGGAGGAACCTACGAATAAAAAAGGGTGCCCTGCCTGGTCTTCAGGGGATTAAAAAAGGGAACCCCAACCCCCAAAAAAAGGAAACAAGGGCCTAAACCCTAAACCCGAATCCCTTGCCGTTTGCAGGGACCTCGCGCAGTTGTTCTGCACAAGCCGGTGCGCTCCAGGCACGGCGCAGCTCCTCCCAGCCCGAACGACTGGGTTTAGGGTTTAGGGTTTAGGGTTTCGGCTCTCGCGCTCGCACAAGGCAGGCAAGGACTCGGTTGGGTTTAGGGTTTAGGGTTTAGGGTTTAGGGTTTACCGTTGACATCTAAACACCAATGGGATGAAATGCCGCTTGGGGGGCCTGGATACTTCGAGGACCCTAAACCCTAAGCCCGAAAAACCCCTAAAAGCCCTATGATTATGAATGTGTCAGTCCTTCGAGCAAATCACCCCGAAACCGTATTTTAGAGTCTGTGCTGAAGACGCTGAAGATGCCCCAATCCACTTGCAAACATACGCAAGTTTAGGGTTTTGGGTTTCATGTGCATACCTTGGTTTACGGCTCATATACCTGGCCTTAACAGACTTTATAGAAGTATGACCCCAATTCTAGGGTCCTCAAGGCATGTGCATACCGCAATCTCGGGTGTTGCGCCCAAAGTGGCCCAAGAAGGTTCACACATTCCAGAGTCCGGAGCATCACACAAGTCCAAAGCCTGGCATAAGAAGTCGAGGCACGTATAGACCTGGAGAGCGAAAACGAAGCTAATGGGATCCTAGGCCCTATACTTATACTTCTGCGATCCCTAAAACAGAGTTTTGAGGAACACCAAACCCTTTTGGGGTTCATGTCTTCCCCAAAGTACCCATACTCGGCGCACAGTCTTTGCTGCTTACGCATGGCCCCAAGCCCGCGCACACACACTTTGTTCCCCCAAGCGCTGTTCCGGTTTAGTGTTTCGGATTTAGGGTTCGGGTTTGGGGTTTGGGGTTTAGGGTTTAGGGTTTCGGGTTTAGGGTTTCCGGTTCCCAAATTGTCCTCCGAGTCATCACAGGTGATTGAAGCCCTCAAGGCGATCGCCACGGCGAAGGCAAAGAGGCATCTGCCTGAGAAGACTGGGAACTGGTGGTAGGGTTTAGGGTTTAGGGTTTAGGGTTTAGGGTTTAGGGTTTAGGGTTTAGGGTTTAGGGTTTAGGGGTTAGGGGTTAGGGGTTAGGGTTTAGGGTTTAGGGTTTAGGGTTTAGGGTTTTTTTTGCCACCCGGGCCGGGTGTATGGCTTAGGGTTTAGGGGTTAGCGCTCAGGGCTTAGGGCTTATATAGGCTTTAGGGTTCAGGTGTGATGGAGGGGCTCTTACCGAAACATCAGCGCAGCTGCTCGGAAGGCTTTTCGAGCTGTCTCTTGAAACCATGCTCGCTAGCAGGACTGCTTGGTAGCCCAGTAGGCATGTAATAATAAGGGTACCCTTTTCTGGGGTTGGTTTCTGTATGAGGGAACCCAGAACCCGAAGAAAAAGGCAAAAAGGGTACCACTGTACGCCCTGAACCCTATACCCTATAAACCCTAAACCTTAACTGTGTAAGGTTTTGGTGGGGCCATCTGCCAGCCTGACCATGTGTTTTTTTTTTTTTTTTGGGGGGGGGGGGGGTTGTGCTTGGGCTGAAGAGGACCGCGGAGACCAACGGAACTCTGAAAGGGTTTAGGGTTCAGGGCTCAGGGTTTAGGGTTTCTGCCTCTGCTGCACCATCTCGTCCCGACACGGATGGAGCGCGATTTCCATGGCATCAGGCCTACTGTGTGGATGCTGCGCTCAGTGATGAGCTAGGAAGTATCCGGTTGAAATCCACGCAGGAAACCTGGGCACTTGCGAGGTAAAAAATGGCGCGTTAACAGGTCTGGGCCCCCCAGCATTGTTGCAACAAGCTCCACAGGGCTTCGGGTTTAGGATTTTGTCTCTCCTGCACAGCCGGGTTTAGGAGTAGGGTGTAGGGTTTAGGGTTTAGGGTTTAGGGTGTAGGGTTTAGGGTTTAGGTTTTAGGGTGCATGCAAGCTGAGCCTCAGCTTCTCAATGCCCAAGCGCGCCAAGCAGCATCTATGCCAGAAACTGCTAGGTTCTGGTTCAGGGCAAGGATACTCTTTTCATTGTTCTTGGCTAGAAAGCCGAAACCCAAAAGTAGCCTGGGAATAGCAAGGGCAACCTTTTTGGTTGAAAGGGCCTAGTAGGGGACCCTAAACCCTCAACAAAAAGGGAAATGAGGCCTACTGTGAGACCTCGTACCCCCATTCTGGTAGCTTGATCTGAGCGCCTCAACAACATTTAGCAAGGACTCACAGTGCCTCGATCCCACTCAGCGAATCTTAGAACTCCCGGACTGTAGTAGCTCTACATGCCGCCCTTCAGTGCACCCCCGCGCCCTTATAAGGGACGACGATTCCTACACCCTAAGCCCTACAAGGAGGGGCCCCCATACTATACTAAGTATAGTTAAGACACTTATAACCTAAGTTAGGATCCTTATAACCCATGTAGTATCCTTGGAACTCTACTTATATCTACGGGCGCCCCTCCTTGTATACCCACGCTTAGAGATGATCACAGAGAGCTGCCAATCTCGAGTCCCCGACTGCCAGTGCGCCTGAACGTTCTGCTCTGGCATTCAATGTTTCGAGCTTGGGTCAGTATTTGGGGTTTAGGGAGGGTTTTCGCCATTCTTACAGTAATCACATAGGTTACAAGACTTCTAACCCACGTAGTCATATTCATGATGCTTCACAGATGCTTGTTGGCATTGTTTGCCTCCCGGGCGCCCGCCCCTCTCCCGCAATGCCAGGCCCCCCCCCCACCCCCCCCCCCCACCCCCTCTACATTAATCCAAAATTCGAAGCCGCCATGTAACGCTACAAGAAGCAAACTAGTAATCCCTAAACGCAACACCAAAACCCTCAACAAAATTCAAACCCTGTAGCCCGAAATAAACCCCAAACCCTAAAACCCTACATAAAGCCTAAAAATAAAGCCCTCAAGAAACCCTAAAACCCGGAATAAAGCCCAAAAACTCTAAACCCTTCGCCCTAAACTAAAACCCTGGAACCCTGAAATCCCTAAATCCTAAACCCTAAACCCTAAACCCTACCTGCAAACTTAAACCCCGGAACCCCTGAAAGCCCTAAAGCTCCGATGGATTGCCTACCTCTGGAGTAGACCCAGGAAAAAAAAGTATATACTTTTTGGGTATAGGTAGCTATAATGGGAACCCAAAACCAAAAAAAAAAAAAAGTATAGTACTCCAAAGCCCAGACTGGAGGATGTAAGCCCTTTCGGCCCGCAGCACCACGACCCCTGGTAAGGCTTGAGGGTGCGCCTTTTTGGGTTCAGGGTTTAGGGTTTAGGGTTTAGGGTTTAGGGTTTAGGGTTTAGGGTTTAGGGTTTAGGGCTAGGGTTTTAGGGTTTTCGAGCAGCCAGCTCGGCTCCGAGCTGGGACGCATCACCGGAGGAGTTGCTGCGACAGGCCTCCCACATGGGGGGTTTGCAATAGCAGGGTTTAGGGTTTAGGGTTTAGGGTTTAGGGTTTAGGGGTACCTTATTGTGGTCCTTGTTACAGGGTGATCCTACCAGCAGCCCATAATGAGGGTCCTTATTTTCTTAAAAACTCCCACAAAGGATAGGCCAAGCCGAATGGCCCACATGCGGCATGCTTCGGATCCAACTCCAAGCGACTTGGATGCCCTAAACCCTCAACCCTAACCAGGGTCTAAAGCAAAAGCTCCAAGAAATTTGTATGTGTATGTGTGTGTATATATATAATAATGTATATATATATATATGTGCATATTAGTGTAGGAGTACACTGCCCAAGGAGGGGTCACAAAGGTTTAAAGATCACTCTCGAGCTCTAAGGGGCCAGGGGACCTTAAACACAAAGTCACTCCATGCCAAAAGCGCACCGGCACGGCGACACAGATCTCGGCGGGGACGTGGCCTGGTTTAGGGTTTGGAGGTTTAGGGTTTAGGGTTTAGGGTGTAGGGTTTAGGGTTTGGGGTTTAGGGTCAAGCCAAGTGCCATATACACTATACTACGACAATGTCCCTATTCCCCGAGGAAACGGTAGCAGAACAACCGTTCGAATGGTTTGTAAGATTCCACGTTCAGCTATGGGCCGTAGAAGACCACCACACACACCTTCTGCCACCATTTGAGCACGCAAACCGAAAACGACAGATACCCTGAGCTAAGTAGGGCTCAGGGTTCAGCCCATGTTTGCCGCCCCAGCCGACTCTTGTAGGGTTTTTGGGTTGAAGGTTCCTTGGTTCTCGGAAGATCGGAGCCTCATAGCGGCTATCCTACTGACATGCTCGTCCTTCCCTACTTTCAGGTCTATGCCTCCGAGGCACTTCTCCTGCAAAATCACACCACCCCTAAACCCTAAACCCTGATCCCTGACGAGTCGCAGAGGCTCTACTTGGAAGCACTTTTGACTCGGGAAGTCGGATTAGTTGGGTCATGGGGATGATTATACTTACGGTTTCTAGGGGATACGAAGTAGGACTTACTGCTTAGTTGTCCGGTAACGTGGGGGAATTGAAAGGTTAACCTTTGGGATGAATTATAAGGGGATTATACTACCACAAAAAGGTTAAAGGCTACCTACTCTACTAAGTCAAAGGGGCTTCCAAGTGAGTGCCAAGGTTTAGGATTGAGGGTAAACCCTTCAACCCTAAACGCTTGTCTGAACGGGGGCCCATGATCGTGGAGTGAGTGTTTTGGCCTCAGCCCTCCCCCCCCCCCTCCGTAACCGTGAACTCTGCATGAAGGGTTTACGATTTGGGTTTCGGGCTTAGGGTTTCGGGAGTAGGCCTCGAAACAGGTTCCCGGCCTGTACATGGCGCATATCCCGGAAGACCACAGGCCTGGAAGCAGTGAGATCTAAAATCTGCTGCATGCGTGAGATGTTACGGGCATCGCGAAGGCGGGACCCTCGGCAAAAGCTGCTAAAGCGGCAATGTGGCGTGCTACGCGTGATATTCAGTGACATTCCTTGCTGAATCGGCTGCTATAATCAGCTGCTATAAGCTTGCAGAGCTTCTCGGTGAACCCTATAAACCCCAAAACCCCAAAACCCAAGTTGCTTCATGCCCCAAACCCGAAAACCCAAACGCTAAGCAGTGACTTTCGGCTGCCAATGCAACCCACAGGTTCGGGTTTGCGGCATAAAGGGGGTTAAAGGAGCCTCAACACACACACACAGCAAAAAAAGCGTGGCCAGAAAAGGCAGTCTCACAACAGAAGCAACTCTGACGCTCCGCCACGAGCCGCACCAAAAAAAGCACAAACTAAATCCTAAACCACAACAAAAACGAGCCGAAGAAGCTTGCGGAATCCGAGAACCTCGACCAACAAAAGGCAGATTAATCAAAAACAAAAAAAGAGCCATAATCTTCGCTTCTGGGTCTAAAGGTTCTACATTCCTTCTTGGTACGGGAAAGATGGAATGTACCTATTCCTATCGGTCTTGATTTATTCAGGCTACTGAAATACAAGGACGGGGCCCCGTAAAAGTAGGGTTAGAAGGGCGGACTTACTTGGGCTCCAAGAATTGTTTCTGAGGTTCTAAGTTCCCAACACCCATTTGTCCTAGCCCTAAACCCTAAACATAACACCCTGAACCCCAAAAACCACTAAACCCTAAGCCACTAAAGTGAGTCGAGCTACATACAGAACTTTCATCTAAAGAAAGGCGCCTGCAGGGCGACACTGTCCCGGTTGGCACGGGCACCTTGCCCAAAGGACCCCCAAACGTTTAGGGTTTAGGGTTTAGGGTCCATGTACCTAAATAGGGAATACTTGGGCCTTAGACGTTTGGGGCCCCCCCCCCCCCCCCAGTATGTAGTTGAAACATTTATCCTTACGGGGGGATACCTGGGCCAAAGCCTATAAGGCTTCGTCGTTAGAGTGTGGGGTTTTTAGGGCTTTGCCCTAGGGACAAATTAAACAGCCCTACAACCCTAAACAGCCCTAAACCCTAAACTCTAAACACAAAGTTAAGTGTTTGCAGAATGGTTACGCGGATCCTTCAGGCTTGCGGATTCTCTTCGTTGATACACGGATGTGTGGGCGACTGAGGACGAATCAAGGGCTGTTGTGGCCAAGCCACTGACTACAGTTGGTACGACGCCTGAACCTCTTACAAGATCTACAGCGAGAGCTGTACTCTGGGCACCCTCTCCGTGCAGTTTGCTCAACGGATCCGTCTTGTGATGCTATACTTCCAGGGGCCAATTTTTTTGTGGCCTTAAGAACTCTAGTAACCGATTTAGAAGCACAGAGTTAGGGTTGAGGTTAGGTGGGGAAACATGGCGGCAACATGGCCAGTCGTGCCATTATCGGCTTCACTTCCGCAGGTGGAGGCGCTCGCTTGTTTTTGGCCGCTTCGCAGAAGACGTCTTTGGCGTCGGATCCCTGAAGCCTACAACCTGGTCAACTTATGGAGCCCTAAGCCCGAAGACCTAAAACCCTGAGCTCCAACTCCTAAAGCTTAAGACAACGCTGGTCCTTTGAACCCTCTGAAAACATATTCCGGCAACATATTCCTAAAACCACTTCTCTTAAAACCAATAACGGAAACATAAAACATCCCAACATCCTCCCTAACATAAACGCCATAGAGCCCCGGAAACGAAAAACAAACCTTAAGCCAGGTTGTATGTATCCTTTCTTCAAGGGGGGTCAGATTCCCCTACCTTGGGAGCAAATAAACCCTAACATCTGCCTTAATCCCAATTATTGAGGTGTAGGAAAAATCAACCCTAAACCCTAAACCCTGCATCCTAGTCCCTAAACTTTTTGAGGTTTAGGGTTTAGGGTTTAGGGTTTAGAGAAGTATAAGCCCCGCTTCCAACGGTTCAGGCGGCGATGTGCTCATCGGCGCGTTCACCACTGGCCACGGAGTTCCTGGATCTTCCTTAGGGCACATGCGACAGGATAACCCTAAACCCTAAACCCTAAACCCTAAACCCTACACCGGGTTTAGGATTTAGGGTTCAGGGTTTTATGGTTTAGGGTTCTACACCGACTTGGTGGCTGCCAGAAGACATGCACTGAAGCTGCGCCCCCTGGGCCACAAAAACTTAAATCCTGAACCGTCTGAGGGTTTTAGGGTTTAGGGTTTAGGGCTTTGAGCTAGCAAAGCTTCATAGATTAGGTGTTAGAGAGGTTTAGGGGTCTCCAGTTTAGGGGTTTGGGTTTTCGGTTTGGGGTCTCTCTAAAGCCCTTCGAGGTTTGAGGGCTTCACAGGCGCGTTGTCGCTGCACGCGCCGTTTTGGACTTGTAAAGACACAAGGAGCTCATTCTCCTTTAGTTAGGGTTTAGGGTTTCGGGTACCCTCAACCCCTAAACCCTAAAGTCTAGACGAACCCTTCTTGCAGAAGGCTTTGCGGGGCCTGCTATCGGCGGGATGCAAGACTCTCTTTTGATATGACGAATCCCTAATCCTGGTCCTTCACCCGATTTCTTTCGTGTTTATCGCAGATACGCCTATCTGCTGTACAACGTCGAGGCCCTGCACGCCTAAACCTTAATGATCCCACATTATGAAGATTCCGTCCTTTGTGGAGAATCTACCACCTTGGTTGTTGATCTCGGCTCCTTTATGGGCGTGCGGGCCTATCCCTGCCTGACACAAGTAAAGCGTGAACGTGCTTGGTTGCTGTTGAGGGACACATGGATCTATGGCAGAAAAACAAAAGGCGTCCTGCAAATATTCTGGTATAACCCTAAACCCGAAACTCCAAACCCTATAAACCCTGTAAAACCCTATAAACCCTAAACCTTAAACCCTATAAGCCCTAAACTTCGCTTCGTAACCCTTGAGCAACTCATGCTTTCCTTATCCGAAGCCAGCCTAAACCCTAAACCCTAAACCCTAAACCCTAAACCCTAAACCCTAAACCCTAAACCCTAAACCCTAAACCCTAAACCCAGCTGTGCTGGAGATCGCCACCGGGTGGCTGCCAAACTGCACCCGGCGGCGGTTTTGTCCTAACCCCGAAAGAAGGCGGTCCATGGTGGCTCTGTTTAGGGCTTTCAGGGCTACGATTGCCCTAAACCCTAAACCCTAAACCCTAAACCCTAGACCCTAAACCCGAAACCCCTAAACCAGGCTTCAGGTTTGGGTTGAGGTTCGTTTAGAAGATAAGATGCTCAAGGTTCCAAGGTTCCAGGGTTCAGCCTCATTAAAATAGAACCCTAAACCCTAAACCCTAAAACTTAAACTCTAAACCCTAAACCCTAAACCCTAGACCCTAAAACCCAACCTAAAGGTCCATGTGAAAAAAAGTAGTGTATTCTTGGGCCCTAAGACTGCAACGGAGGAACCCCTTCAACGGCCAATAGTACACTAGATAGGTACATATGGACCCTGTTGAAGGGACACTCATGGGACCCAGAACAGGGAACCACAAGAATATAGGGTCCTTATAGTCTCCTTTGTATTCCTACTTTAATGTACCTACTAGGGTCCGGGTTCTCTGTTTGGGGTTCCCATTAGGATCCTTTGTGTCCAGGCCTGGGGCTTTGCCGTTTTTGTTTAGGGTTTAGGGTTTAGGGTTTAGGGTTTAGGGTTTAGGGTTTAGGGTTTACGGTTGTCATCCCTGCCTTTTGATTTGCTCCAAATCCTGAGCTCTTCCTAGAGCGACCTGGTACCTTCAAACATGGGGGGGGGGGGGGGGGGCTCGTTTAGGGTTTAGGATTTAGGGTTCAGGGCTATTTAAGGCTCAGGGTAAAGAGGCTGCTCTAGGTCAAAATTCTTGAAACTGTATCAAGTACAGGTACAGAGAAGGCGAAACAAACAAGGGCCCCTAAAACCCAAACCCCAAACCCTAAACCCTAAACCCTAAACCTAACAAAAAAAGGCCCCGTGTGTCCTGCAGCGTGCAAAGGCAGCCTCGCAGGCCGTCCTTAGGCGAGGAAGCTCGTGCACGACACGCCGCCCTCCATTTGTCAACCTCTCCTAAACCCTAAACCCTAAATCCCACCCTCCTATCAACCCTAGGGTCATGTACCCTACACTATTCTAAGTCCTATGGAGGCATATGAACCATGAACCCTTTTCCTTTTGCAGAGACTACGCTAAACCCTGAACCCTGAACCCCAAATCCCAAACCCTACATAACCCTTGACTCTAAACCCCAGAAATCCTAAACCCTAAAAAACCCTAAACCCTATAAAGCCCGCTGCTCTTGTAGCACCCCTACCCTTGAGGGTGAGGGTGACCCCTAAACCCTAAACCCTAAACTTTGGCATGGTTGGGCCTTCTGTTGTTAAAAGCCTACACCCTAAACCCTAAACCTATAGGGTATCGACGATATGCTTGACACCCCAAGGGGCTGGCACTCCTCCAATAGATCTCGCAGACGATTGCAGCGGTGCGTCTGCTCCCGGCAGTCCACGAGGAAGGAGTTACCTCGAGACTGGGATGTTCCCCCCAAAACTAACAGCTCCTGAATAGGAATTATGATCGTAGCCCCCCCATTACAATCCCTATTAAGGAACGCTCGATTTAGGGGGAACTTCCCAAGAGTTCCCTTTAGACGCACAAGAAGAAATCTCGAACTTCGGGAACCTACCACTTGGAAATTACGACCTTAAACCCACCAAATCCTCTCAACTTTCGCAACCCACTCTGTCTCTCTTTCTCTCTCTTTCTCTCGCACTGCGGGAAACCCTCTGAACCCTTAACACCATCTCAGCCCTAAACCCCATACCCGAAACCCCAAACCCTCTCTCTCTCTAGCTCTCTCTCTCTCTCTCTCTCTCTCTCTCTCTCTCTCTCTCTCTCAAACCCCAAACCCTAAACCCTAAATCCTAAACCCTAAATCCTAAACCCTAAATCCCAAACCCTAAATGCTAAACCCTAAATCCTAAACCCTAAACCCCCTTGTTTTTGGAGCCGAAAGGCGCATCGTCTTGAAAGCGCCCTCACACCTGGCTGCCAGAAAACTAGTAATTCCTTATCAGCCCCCCCAAAAAAATGTTAAAATACATTTTCTTTATATACGGGCAATATACGGATTATTTATATATATATATATAGATGCACATATATATATATATTTATTTATTTATTTATTATTATTTTTTTTTTTTTTGGGGGGGGGGGGTTCGGGGAGCCGGTTCCACGATGCCTTCAAGATCTCCCTTAACAGGCTTATGCCTAGATAGGGATTTCGGATAAGGTTTTGGGTTTCGGCCTGGGACTCAAGGTCTCGGGAGTTCGGGGTTCAAGGACTCTTGCAATGGCCTAGATAGACTTGAAGAAAAGGAGTGTGCCTGCACTGGTGGGTGCATGTCCCTGCTTGCTTCTTAAGATACAGAGTTGCTTCAGGCGGCGTCCGCCCGGACTCTCTTGAACCCCAAAGTCTTGCCCTCATCAGCTGGGAGCTAAGAGCTGAGCACTCACTGGACCCCTGCAAAACGACCCAACCGTCCGGCAGCCGCGCCAAACAACAGGGAAGCAGAGAGCAAAACGCCATGCCGATGCCATGAGTAGACTTCCAGTTCTGTGTGCCTCCGTGATGTGTGTACAACCAACCCACTCCCACTCCCTGAGCCGCAAATTCCAAACGATTCCTACTCTTTGCTTAAGAAACAAAACAACACAAATACTAATCCCGATATTGCCCGTCTAAGGAAGAACCCTGAACCCTGAACCTTAAACCCTAAACCCTAAACCCGGTGTTTCAAACAGTAGGTTCAAGGCCCAGTGGCATGACTCTGGTGGCTTGGCAGCTATCCACGTCCACCTCCTTGGCCTTCCCAAAAGGTATGCAACAAACGGCATGCTACTGTTCAGGTTTAGGGTTTAGGGTTTAGGGTCTAGGGTTTAGGGTTTAGGGTTTAGGGTTCTGACTTAGTAAGTAGTGTTAGTAAGGTGGGCGCTAGCACAATAATCACAATATGACCGAGGAAAATGATAAACCCTAAGCCCTAAACCCTGCTTGTACCAAGCCCGTCCTTCAGCAGCTTCCGCGCGGAGCGGCGAGCCTGGGCTGAGCCAGGTCGATTCTCACGCGAATGTCTTTGCCAGAGGTACGGGTGGGCACGAGGTTAGGGTTTAGGGTGTAGGGTCCTTGGTCTTTCTTGCAAGTCTCTCCAGGCGTCTAACCCTAATTAAACCCTATAAAACCTGAATCCTCTTCAAAAGACCAGGGGCAGGGGGCATGGTGCTGAAGCCGTGCAAAGAGTATCGGGGCATGGCAATTTTTTGGGTTTAGGGGCTCAGGGTCTGGGGCCTGCTTTTTTGAGGGCAAAGGGGGGTCGGCGCCCTGATACAAGAACACCTCATAGCTAAATCATCCATTGGAGGCAAAGGCAGGCAGCATGCGTGCAGGGACGCATGGTTAAAACATAAGCCCTTATCACGTTATCCATGTCCATTGATACTTGTGCTTGCAAGTTTGTGGGGGCTTATTCTGGTGATGTAATTGCTAGTACTTCGCAGGGTACTCTGGAACCCTAAACACTAAACCCCACACACAGAAACAAAGCCACATGCCTTGAGGCCCTCCTCGAAAACCTCGAGTGGCACACCTGCGGCGGAAATGAGCCCTCAACCCCAACACCACAAAACCCTAAATCCCTACAACCCAAGGGGGAATTCACAGGGCCAGGTTCGGGGGACTGGGGGGTTGGGACTCGGGTTTGGGGTGTAGACAGTGCATACTGTTGCCGATGCTAAAGCAGGTGCGCTCTGTAGATTGCCTTGTCTGACCACACTGGCAGTGGAGCTTGAACATTGTAGATCTGCAGGCTTTCGCAAGACACAGCACGTCTAGTGGAGACGGAGTCGGAGTCAGTTTTAGCATGGCAACAGGAGGGTTGACACGAATGCTTCATGTCATAAATGGGCCGGAGAGCCCTCCCGCAGCATGTCAGGAACGAACCTACTGTACCTACAACTCAATTATAACCCTATTGTCAAGGGGGTTATAAGTGGGTTACAAATACAGATATACTTGGTTATTAAGTACCACGAAGCTCTAAGTATATGCTTTGGAGTTGAGCATGCTCCGACTTAGACAATCCAAATGAAGTGATTCATCGCTCAACCCATTCTTGTTCTTTGTTCCCTTTTAGCATATTCTATATATATATATATATATGTGTATATATATATATACATACATAGAGAAAGAGACATATGTGTATCTATCTATTCGTCTCGATCTATATTCATGTATAGTTGGGTCCCCTACGCATGGCTCTGGGCTTGTTCTGTGTTCACATCCATCTTAGCGCTGTAAGCCCTGAAGCATCACTCAAGGTGTCCCGTGTTTTCGCCGTGCACCTGCCACCACGAAACCCTCCTCTGAGAAGTCAGGCTCGGAGGACATGGCAGCTTGGCAGCTCCAGTAAGATTGCGGATTCCCTACAGATCCTAAACCTAAAGGTGCATGTACTCTTACGACTATAGGACTATCGGACGCATCGTGAAGTGAGTTGAGTGTTTGGCGGCATTTGCTTGCGCGACACGCGCCATGCGAGGAGCCTCATCGGAAACGTACAAGAACTATTCCGTACATGCTCTGAGTCCGCAGTGGTACAAGAAGGGGCGCCCCCCCTAGCTAGGTAGAGGTTGTAAGGACCCTCAATTGGGTTCAAAGGATCCTATCTTAGGTTCTACTCTTAACCATAGCTAGATCCTATCTTAGGTTATACTCTTAACCATAGCTAGTCTAGTAAGGGGGGCCCCTCCTGATACCGCAGAGTCCTCATGTCATCTAGTCATCTAGGAGCTCATGCATCTTCCCCCACAATTTCAGAGCCAAAGCAGCTGCTGCCACGGTTTAGGGTTTATGGTTTAGGGTTTAGGGTTTAGGGTTTAGGGACTTGCAAACCCACGCCAGTGACTGGGGAGCAGGCCCTTTTCTCGATGAATGCAAGAATTCTTCAAGGCACGAGCGGCTCATCTTCGTGCTCATATTGGGGAGTCTTTTGTCCGAACACGGCCGAAGGTTGTTCACACTTGTTCCTCCTTCTACTGATGGTGCGGTTAAGGTGTTGGGTTTAGGGGATACTTATGGCTCCTCAAGAGGGATGAGGCGGACAGGGCCGTGCCGAACTCGCCATCTTCGAAACTTACCTTTCTTGTCCCTCAGCCCTCAACCGCAGTCTCTCTTTTACTGGGCACCTGCAATCCTCATTCTCGTCACTCAACTCTAATTAAGAGCCTCCAAATAGGGCTCCTGCTTACCTTCATCAAGGAACCCCATGCCCGGCCCATGCCCGAAGCCCGAAGCCCCAAGCCCTAAGCCCTAAGCCCCAAGCCCCAAGCCCTAAACCCTAAACCCTAAACCCTAACCCTAACCCTAAACCCTAAACCCAAAACCTAAACCCTAAACCCTAAACCCACCCAAAACTTCATGAGATCCGGCCTGCGCCGTCGGGCAGACTCCGTGCACAGGAGACCTAAGGACTCATCCCCTCTCCTCCTCCCCCCTCCCGCCCCCACCGCGCACACATGCACGGCGCGCTGGAAATTTAGGGTTTAGGGTTAGGGTTTATAGGGTTTAGGGTTTAGGGTTCAGGGTTCAGGGTTTAGGTAGGTTTACGGTTTTAGAGTTTGGGGTTTAGGGCGCTGGAAGTCTGCTTCAGGGGGGTGCAGGAGTCCGACCGACTTGGGTACGCGCGAATTTAGAAGGAACACCTGTTTTCAAGAAACCCTAAACCCTAAACCCTAAACTCCCCCTTGCAGCAGCGCCTTCTACCTTCGAACAGGGTGTGGGTGGCGCCGAACACCCTCATTCATCCATCCCAGGACCCACACCCACTGCGTCACTTGGGAATACATGTGCTTGGTGCGGGTTGCGGTCTCGAAGGTTGACCCTAAACCCTAAACCCTAAACCCTAAACCCTAAACCCTAAACCCTAAACCCTCTAGACTCTAAACCCTATAAACTTAAGGGTGGGTCGCCGGTGGCTGTGGCTCCCAAAGATGCCCAGGGCTGAGCTTCGCGCAGGACCCTCGTGGCAAGTATCGGCGTGGAAGCCTCGGCAGCTACCCATTTTTCATATGGGGTTTAGGGTTTAGGGTTTAGGGTTATAGGGTATAGGGTATAGGGTATAGGGTTATAGGGTTATAGGGTTTAGGGTTTAGGGCTTAGGGGTATAGGGTTTAGGGTTTAGGGTTTAGGGTGTAGGCTGGAGAGGGTCACCGAATTAATCACAGTGGATCAAGCCCAGTGGCTTTGCAAACCCAAAGCTCGATATCCTTAGTTGTAAGTAGAACTTCAAGAAACCCCAAACCCTAAACCCTAAACCCTAAACCCTAAACCCTAAACCCTAAACCCTAAACCCTAAACCCTAAACCCTAAACCCTAAACCCCTAAACCCTAAAACCTAAACCCATCCTTAGTTGTAAGAAGAACTTCAAGAGGCCACCAACCCATTCAAGGAGGGGCCCCCCCCTAGTTATCAGTAGATTCATAAGGATCCCAAATTGGGTTTGGGGTTTAGGGTTTAGGGTTTAGGGTTTAGGGATAAGGATCCTGAATTGGGTTATAAGGATCCTAACTTAAGTTATACGCCCCTGAACTATAGTTCGTAGGGTAAGGGGGGCCCCTCCTGGTATAAGGCAGGCCTGTAGAGAAGCCGTCGGAAGCATCGGTGGTGCAACCTCATCACCGGAGGATGGGCGTGGCCGGTGATGGCTTGGAAGCACATTTAGGGTTTAGGGTTATAGGGTTTTGGGTTTAGGGTTTAGGGTTAGGGTTTAGGGTGCAACAAACCCCTCTAGACTTCGGATTCTCTGGCAGTTTCTGCAGCTTCGGCGGCCCCTCATGCCCAAAACGACCCTCAGAACAGATTCGATGTGGCGCTGACGCATCTGAGCTTGGTGCCACGAACCGGCGACAGGCTGACTGGTTCGGGGGGGGACTGGCAGCCTCGGGCAGTCAGCAAGGTTCGCGCAGAAAGCCCCAGTCGTCCCGGAATGTTCCTGAAGTGTAATTGCAGCATCTGCAGGTTCTTGAGGGCTTAGTAGTGAGATGCTCAAGATACTATCCCAGACCTTTGGGAGGATTCGAAAAGTAGAGCCTCCCAAACTAGTACCCCATGCTCTTGGGTCATTCTTAGGAACCCTTCAGGGGCTTTTCTGGGATGGAACCGATCTGCTCCTGCAAGATGGGTTTAGGGTTTAGGGTTTAGGGCACGCGTGTGCGTGTTGCTGCCGTCCCTTGCCTGCAGCACTGCGGCAGCCGCTGGCGGCGGCTGCATCGGCGTGTGGCAGGCTGCGGGGGGAGCCTGGAAGGGGCGAAAAAACTGAGAAAACTCCGAAGGGGGTAAGACTCATGACCTAATAACCAACTCAGCGGCCCCTCCAACCACCAACTCAGCGGCCCTGAGAACCCTAAGCCCTCAACGCCCGAGAGATGCTGCTGAAGGAGGGGTAGTTTTCAGGTCCGGGCCCATGTCTCAGAAACCCGTCTTGCCAATCCTAGGCCCAAGATTAGGAATATAAAGGCGCCCTTTTTGGTTTTTGAAGGGCCTTATAAGGGAACCTACTCTGGGTCCTATAGAATCTTGCTCTGCATCAGGTTGTCCACCAATTTGTACCTCAAGCCTAGCGCCTCGGCTGAAAAATCCCCACATGAAGCCTTGCAACGTGCCGTCAGGGTTTAGGGTTTAGGGTTTAGGGTTTAGGGTTTAGGGTTTAGGCCTGCTCTCGTGGGTCAGCTGAGGGCCCAGGTCGTACGGCTCGGACGCGAACAGGCTCGACGGTGTCTGCCCGCGATGTGTCGAAGCTAACTTATCCAACAAAGATTGAAAAGGTTAATGCCCTGGTGCATTTAAAAGGTTAAAGTTTCTTACTGCAGAGTAAGGAAGCTGAAAAAGGTTTTAAATCTTTAGCTAAGCTCGTGGATCATGGAACGAGGAAATAAGCTTCTTGCCTCGGTCTAAGCTAGGGTTTAGGGTTCAGGGTTCATGTTTGCTTTTGCCACCCGCCTAGCTGATGCATCACATCGCACAGGGGAGACCCTCGTTACTCAAAAAGGTTCATGGTTGAGGGTTGAGGGTTCAGGGTCCAGGGTATAGGGTGTAGGGTTTTAGCTTAGACAGGCCCAAGACTTGCGCTGTGTGACAGCATCAGTATGAGGAGGCCTTTGGTACGCTTCAGGTGTATATATACATATACATACATATATGTATATATATGTATATATAATGTATGTATATGCGTATATATATATATATATGTGTCTATAAATTTCTTTTGGGCTGATCATTGTTGTAGTTAACTGTATGTTTATACTTATGTGCTTATTTGCCTACATACTCTAGAGATTGAGTGGCTAACGACCTCAAAACCAAAGTTTCAGTGCGCCAACAGGAATGCAAACGTGCCGGTTAAGCCTCGCTCTGAGAGCTTGGCTGCATCCAAAGACTTCTCTCGGTGCATGGATACACTAGTTGCTTAAGAGAACCCCCCCCCCCCCCCCACCCCCCCCCCCCAAAAAAAAAAGAATAATAAAAAAACATATATATATATATATATGCATATAAAAAAAATATATATACATATATATATACATATATATATACATATATATATACATATATATATACATATATATATAACACATTCTTCCTTATAAGGGTAATGTAGGGATATTTAAGTTTTTTCTTTATTTATTAGTTTTTTTTTTTTTTTTTTTGGGGGGGGGGGGGGGGCTCTTAAGGAAATAGTAGGGACACAGAGGGAAACGGGTGCTAGCTGCACGGCATGAGGCCACTTCCTGAAGCATACCAGCTGACGTCGAGCTGAGAAAGATATGCATTAGGGTTTGTATTTCTTGTACCCCCAAAAGGACACCCAAGGTATACACTCACCAAATATTCAAAAGCAAACTTATATACACTCACCAAAAACAGAAATATCAACCCTGTTTCAGGTGCTTTCAACAACTTTCTCAAGGCCCGGATGGATACACCCGATACTCTCGAATCATTGAATACTGATGCAAGTGCTTAACCCTAAACGCTAAACCCTACATCCTAAACCCTAAACCCTAAACCCATACAAAACAAGACGCCGTCATCAAATAATTAGTGCGGGCTGGCAGGCCTTGCACCAGGACAGCCTCCTGTCAAACAGAGAGCAGAAAGAGAGAGAGAGAGAGAGAGAGCGTTTAGGGTTTAGGGTTTCGGGTTTAGGGACAGAAAGGGAAAGAGAGAAAGAGCGTGAGAGAGAGAGGGAAGAGAGGAGGGAGGGAGCTGGATGGAGGGAAGATGAGGGAGAAGGAACGGGCAGCGGCCAAGCTCTTCTGGGAGAGGCAAACTTCAGGACAACTGTAACATGTGCAAGCCCACATGCTGTCACGCTTCCTGCGTTGCTCACCAACTTGTCATACCCTAAACCCTAAACCCTAAACATGTTCGCTTCTTTTTTTAAGGTATGACGACGCACTTGGACAAGAAGGAAAAGGGATTCGGAGCCTTCGCGGAGTCGGATCCCGGTGCTTTCCGGGCATCCTCCCCTGACAACCTCGGTTGCCATGCTTCAGAAGTCGGGTTTAGGCTTTAGGGTCTAGGGTGGCTGCGGGGGGGAGCGGTAAAGTCTAAGGGCCTAAAGCCTGAACCCTAAATCATGGCTCTGCACTGCATATGTTCGCTTGTGTCCACCGGGGCCAGCGTAGATCCTTGCACATAGCACCACTGTTTGAGGCCCTTATAATATAGGGTTTAGGGTTAGGGGGTAGACGGCGGTCTTCCCTGCTTACTTGCAAGGCCTACTTACTTGGAAGGCAAAGCAGCTGACCGTCTGGCAGTCCCCACAGAGGGTGCTGGCTCATGAGTCACGAGGCTCTAGAACTCCAGCCCCCCACACTCCACGAACACTGCTCCCTCTAGCCATCCGAGCTACTGTCCGAAATGCAGCCACCCACCCCCCACTACCCTACTTTGGAAGCCCTAAACCCTAAACCCCATTCCCCCTAAGGCTCTGCTGACTTCGTAAGTAGGGTTAGTAGGCTGGGTTCTGGGGATTAGGATCGGGTTTCTAGGGGTTACTAGGCAAACTTACTATGTCAAAAGACCCTTCTAAGCACACTCTAAATTGAAGGTTGAGCCCTGTTGTCGAGACCCTGGTCATGCGAAAGGTTTACGATTTTTACAGTTTAGGGTTTGAGGTTTGGTATTTAGGGTTTGGTGAGCCAGGAATCCCTCCACCAGCCCCTACATGCCTGTACCGAAGACGTCCCTCAGATGGGGTTTCCGGGTTATGAAGGAGGGATCCCCCCTCGTGTACCCCCGGGCCAAAAAAGGTTAACCCCTTTCAATTCTGGTAGGATTATATATATATATACATATGTATATATATACACATATACATAATACCCCAAAAGGTTAAAGGTTACCTACTCAGCTTTTGAGTTTGGGGGTTCCCCCCCGGATGTCATGGCCGCGAGGCATCTCGATGGCCGAAAGGATGGCACTCCGGGCCTTCTCATGGCGGTGCCTTGGCCACGGGTCTTCCTCCCCTCCCTTTCTCTCTCATACCCACACAGCCAAAGAACAAAGACCCTAAACCCTAAACCCTAAACCCTAAACCCTACAAACTCAACCCTACACCCAAAACTCAGCGCTTGATTCACACCAGGTCCAGCACGGGCTCGCCGGATCCCCAGCGCGGCGGGCCTGGCAGGTTGCGGTCTTTTCTTCTGGTTTTGTGCCACGACGGACCGTCGGGATGAAGGGGTATAGCAGGGACCCCTAGAGCGGACCCGTAACCCCGAGATATAAAAATAATACACCTTATATTGTCCCTATAAGTTCCCGTGACAGGATCGTCTTCGTGGCCCTGATTCCTAAACCTCAAGATTGGGAGTTCGGAGTCCAAGGAGGTATGCTAGTGTCTAAGTTTTTAAGGCCTGGGAACTGGGAGCAAGTGTTCGAAGGCCTGGGAGAATTCAGGCTACACATAGTTACATAACTAAGAAAAGCACAGCCGCTGATCTCACTTTTTTCTTCCCATGACCTCCGAGTGTGGTGTTGCGGTCTTCTTTGTGGGGGGTCCCACACCTTGGATGCAGGCATGCGAGTTTGGGTTGCTTGCCCCAGCTGTCGGCAAGCAACCACGGCAGGCGTTGCCATCTCTATGCCTACAAGCCCTTATAAGATCATGAACCCTAGACCCTCAACCCTAAACCGCAAATCCCTACGAAGAAACAGTTGCAAGAACTCCATCCTAACCCCTAGGCCTCAGTTCCAAACCTACCCTTGCCTTGTAGTCCTCGTCGCGCAGTGGGGACTCCTCTGCACCTCGTGTCGAACGTGGAGGTTTCATTCCGGTCCCCCTGGGCCTGAAAGAAGCGGGTTTAGCGAAAAGTGCCTAGAAAGGCAGAGCAGGACGATGATGAGTAAAATGGACGTTAAACTTAAACCCCTACAATCCCTGTAATCCCTATAAACCCTAAATGCAAACTGGCAGTGAGGTCGTATGGTCCTCGCTCAGCTCGCAAATCCCACATCAACCCGGCCTACACTTACCTACATGCCCTTGAAATGGTCTTTAAGTCATGAGGGTTTAGGGCGTCGGGCTTGAGGCTACTTGAATAGTTGGTATGCTGTTGTAAGGGTATGGAAGTTACCTTCGATACAGACACCCTAAACCCTAAACCCTAAACCCTAAACCCTAAACCCTAAACCCTAAACCTAAGACCATCATCTTACCGGTTCTTCGTGGGAATGACGGATTTATCGGTTTAGGGGGATGCAAGATACCTGATGGCCTCAAATTAAGAACCGGTAGGCCTCAACCCTAAACCCTCAACCGGCCTAAACCCTAAACCCCTAAACCCCTAAACCCCTAAACCCCTAAACCCCTAAACCCCTAAACCCCTAAACCCTAAACCCTAAACCCTAAACCCAAGGATAATGCTGAGCTCTCATCGGCACAAGAAGGTCGCCGAGGGGCTTTGTTGGGCGGGTGCCTTGAAGCTCTCTGGCACCTGCAGCCCCTGCGCTTTCTAGGGCTTAGGGTTTAGGGGCCAATTTAGGGTTTAGGGTTTAGGGATGTTTAGGGCCAATTTAGGGTTTAGGGATGTTTAGGGTTTTAGGGCCAATTTAGGGTTTAGGGTTTAGGGTTTAGGGCTGCGCGGGCCCGCAGATACAAAGTCAACCACAAGTCGCCTGTTTAAGTTGGGGGGGGGGGGGCCTATGACCCTAACACCCCCAGGGGGTGTGCAGGGTTTGGGGGCTTGCAGCAACGTGTTGCTGTTCTAACCTGTCCCCCGCTCTTCACGCTGAACCCTAAACCCTGAACCCTAAAACCTAAACACTAAACAACTTAAGGGCTTGGGACTTACCCTAACCAAATGGAGTTTAGGGTTTAGGACTACCTTGCACCTGACCAAAGGCCAGATTTCCAAAGAAGTACACTATATTGGCCGGGGTACAAAGTTCACCCGAGGAACCTAAACCCTAAACCCGAAACCCTAAACCCTAAACCCCAGTGTTCATGGCCCTCTCAAGAGTGAAATCCGCTCCCTGATCGTGGGCCTTCTTCTGTGCCCATGTGGCTTTCATGGGTGTGCCTAGGCCAAGGCTGGGAGAGTATATCCTAAACCTTTCAAGGGGGTTTAGGATTTAGGGTAGGGTTTAGGGTTTAGGGTTTAGGGTTTAGGGCTTAGGGTTTAGGGCTTAGGGCTTAGGGCTTAGGGCTTAGGGCTTAGGGCTTAGGGTTCAGGTTGAGTTTAGGGTTTTATGGGACCCCTACTATACTAGCTATAGTTAAGGGATTTGTATCCTGAGTTAGGATCCTTACAACCCAATTGAGGGCCCTTAACTTATAACTCTGCTTAGAACGAAAAGGGCCCGTCCTTGTAAACCCTGAACCCTAAACTAAGGAGACAACAAGGACTCCTGCTGAGTGTCCATGTACTTCATTACTATATGCTGGGCCCAAAGGCCCGTTTTAGGAGGTACTCGAAACCCTAAACCCTAAACAAACCCAAACCCTAACCCCTAACCCCTAACCCCTAACCCCTAAACCCTAAACCCTAAACCCTAAACCCTAAACCCTAAACCCTAAACCCTAAACCCTAA